TGATCTCACAGTTCATGGGTTCAAGCCCTGCGCTGGGCTCTGTGTTGACAGCTCAGAGCCTGGACGCTGCTTTGGATTCTGTGTCCCCCTCTCTCTGCCCCTCCCCACTCACACTCTGTCTCTCACTCTCAAAAATAAATAAAACATTAAGTCTGTTTTTATTTATTTTTGAGAAAGAGAGTGAGCATGAGTGGTGGAGGGGCAGAGAGAGAGAGGGGACAGAGGATCCCAAGCAGGCTCTGAGCTGACATCAGCAAGCCTGGTACAGGGCTGTAACTCATGAACCTTGAGATCATGACCTGAGCCAAAGTCAGACGTTCAAGTGACCAAGCCTCATGTCTTCTGCTTTTTGCGCCAATAGCTGGAACCTTTCTTAGCTAGAGAAAATGAGATGGTTTATTAGACTCTTCCATGAATTTTTTCTGCCAGACTTGTGTCAAAACAAGTAGTCCTGGAAAAAACAAGACAAACAAAAAAACTAGTCCTGGGACCAAACCCCGTGATAACATTGATAATGCTTTGATAACACAGCCAATCACACTGATGAAGCTTCAGGCACTGGTCAGAATGAACCACTTAGATTCATTCAGGTGAGTTCAGGTCTTCTCCTGCAGGACCCTCAGAATGGCTTGCAAAAGGCAGGGCTCATTAACCTCAGTTAGCTAGACAGACCATGAGTTGCTGATTCGTAATTGGTGAAATAATCCCCAAATTTTATTGTTAAAATAATCACCAAATGTTCCTACCGATGTCCTGCTTTGAGAAAGTTCAGTATATACCCATATTGAAATTTTGTAAGTTTGCAACAGATAAATCTGAGGAAGATTAGTGCATATACAATCAAATGATGGCCCAGTTTTTTCCACCCCTCTTTGCACTTCTGTGACGTGGGCCTGTGTCTGAAGGCTGTGCTACCAGCCAGGGTTTCTGGTTTATCAACAGTCTCAGAGAAAAGGAATCCACCCCTCCCAGCTCTTACAAAGGACTTCCTCAGGGAGAACAAGGGAAACTTCTTTGGCTCCTGTCTGGGAGGTTAATTGGTCCAAAATCCATGGTACGACTAATCACTCCAGTTCCCATACACACAAAAACGGAGACCGAAGCACAACGTGTCGGTCAGCTCGATGCAGTTTGAAAGCTAAACTTTAGCATTAGGTAAAGCCTCTATTAAAAATGGTAACCCAAATTCAGTTAAATGACAAATCTCATTTAAGAAATGTGCACATATTGTACGCTCTCTGGTGTAAACTACATTTGGTACAAACCAAATGTACAAACAGATGGGCCTAGTAACGCAGGGATGAGCAGGGTCAGTATCAGCCTTGCAAATCAGGGCCTGCCCTAGGAGGTGCCTCTGATGTCACCATTGCTGCATTTAGCATCTCCGCAAAATA